GTGAAACTGCTGAAAAATCTATTAAAAAAAACTGAAATTCCGGGTGTGAACAGTACCCGTGAACAGTGATTTTTTTTTTTTCCACCTAAGATTGAAAATTGAAGAAGAAGAAGAAAAAAACTGCTGCCTGTACCAAATATTCTTTTAGTTCGTGCTGTTCCAACAGATTTTGGGAAAGAAATATAAATAATTTTTGGATTAAAGAAAAGAAATTATCCATGGTTCGGCTCTGATACCAAATTTGATGTAGGATGAATAAGAAAGAAAGAAGAAGGAACGGGGAGGAGAAACAGAGAGAAGGGAGAAGAGGAGAAGAAACCAGAGGAAGAGAGGGGAGGGAGAAAACGGCTGCAAGCCACCAAAAAATATTTCAATTCTAATTCATCATCAACTGTCTCAAATGAGAAACAAAACAAAAATAAATAGCAGAACACAAACCCTAAAGAGAAGGGTTTGGGCCAAACCCACTAAACAAGCCCAATAACGAAAACATAAACAATAGTCCAAATAAAATATAACTAATAGTCCAAATAGAAAATAAATAATAAATGGATGTCCGCATCAAAAACTCACGGTGAAGCAAATACATAAATAATCTGATAATTGTCTGAAGCGCTATCTTGTGGCTTCCAGATATCATAAAGAGATGAAAATGAAGTATAAGAGAGATCTATAAGCATATTCAATTGCACTAAATATTTTAGCAAACTACTATCAAAACAAAAAATTTCGCAAGCTCATCACTGCAGAAAAAATAATTATGTTACAAAGAAATGAAATCTGTGTATAATAAGTGACGGTAACATGTAATATGCACCAAAATTGTATCAATTTTGGAAAAGTAATTGTGTGAGTAACAATCACTATAAACAAAGGTTTGGAGTCTTGATAGGACATACTACAAGGATGATTGTTCTTTACTGTCATTAATCCTAAAGAATGCACACGAGAGGTCAACCTCTTCACTCAAAATTTAGGAACAGCCAAAGCATCCACGAATAGAGAAAAAACTTGAATCTGCAAGTTTTGGCTCAGGCTCAAGTATTTTGCGAGGAAGATGCTTAAAGAATGCTTTCACGGCTCCATTAATCCCGTTTTCATTTTCCATTGCCCTTGCAAGTTCAACTGCATTCTCCTTGACCTGCATATTGTCTCTTCAGTTTATATTCAATTCAAAGTATCCTCACCTTTTTTTTATACATAATAAACATGTTTTATTGAGCTTCAAAATAAGTAAAATTTTACGGTAACTTTTGGTTTCAAAACATGTTTGGATATGTTACTTTTTTTATTATTGCTTCTTAAAGAAAATTTAACTTAATTTGAAAGTAACTGACTTCACTGTTACTAATTTCATTTAATTTCAATACTGATCTATAAAAAGGCTTATTTAATCTTGTAAGCAAACTTTTTAATTCCAACCTTGATCTTTAAAAAAATATTAAAAAAAAAAAATTTATTTTAAACTTGTAAGTGGACTTTTAAAGCTTAGGCAAACCAACTCATTGTGCCCAGCTAATACATAAAAATACTTCTGCTATCCTTTCCCATTATAAAACAACATCCAAGAGATATGGAAAAAAGGGGAAAAGAAATCTCTTGACAAGAACAAAAACACACGTTGCAGGAACTATAATTGAAATTTTCACACATTCTTCACAGGAGAAATACTGTAAAAGAACAAATGCAAGCACTTCTCGCATCGCTTTAGCAACTGCAACATAAGAATGCAAAAAGAAAAAAAGTGAAATATGATACCTTGGGATCCAGCATGAATCTAATTGCATCAACCAACTTCTGAAGCGAAAATTGGTCAACTGGAATTGGTGGAGGACCTACGCCTCTAGCATGGACTCTTTCTCCCCAAAATGGTTGGTCACCGAAAAATGGGACAATAGTTGTTGGGCACTGTATTGCAATGAAAAGTTAAAATCAAGAAGTATTTAAGATCAAAAACACAAAAGATAGAAGATGTATCCTTACCGCTGCCTTAAGACCAGCGGCTGTTGTTCCAGCACCACCATGGTGCACCTGGAAACAAGAGAAATCATCTCTTATAGCTAAAAAAACACTCCAGATTTCAACATTTGCATAAGACATTAACCTTTCAACAGACAAATACAAGACCTAACCCCAAAAACCCCCACGCCCACCCCAAAAATGAAAAAAACGCAGGGAAACAAAACCATAAGCTTCAGAGTTTCACCACTTCTCGTACCAGAGTAAGGAGTGTGTGCTGGATATGTCAAAATGAAAAGACACAGGTAATGGCAGTAATAGAAGAACTTTGCAAGATACAAGCATTAATACTTCCAGAAGCACAAAAGATTCGATACAGATATTCTCCAACTACTCTTTGATAAAGAACATGGATATATTAGAAATGGATCCAGGTGATCACAGTAGCTGATCGACATAAAGTGATAAATACAATTGTCAGTAAACAATCAAAATTGGCTAGTGTCATGCAGTCATATAAAACCAACCCACATATGTTAACGCACCTACTCCAAATCATTGAGTTAAAACCCAGAAATTATCTGAAATTGACTGGACGGTTGTCCACAACAAATATACTAGGCAATGAGTGAAATTATAACCCACGTGACTTATAAGACATAATATCCAATCAAAAGCAATGTCCTCACGCAAAAGCATCATTCACCCAATACAACATACCTTGGACGCACAACAGATGTTGAATTGAAAAATAAATAAATAAATAAAATCTGAGGACATAGAATATCGGGGGTAAGCAAAAATCATCGTGAAAATGAAGTTACATCTATTTTCATTAGATGATAAAATGCAAAGTGCAGGCACTCGTGTTTAAACTGTTCGTGTGTTCATTTAGTAAAAATTATTGGAACACACTCGGGAAGGGTCATCTTCCCACCATTTCTTGGCCCGAAGAAACTTCTCATTATTTAATTTGCTTCTACCTGAGAAACATTTCCTTCATTATTTTCCCATTATTCAAACAGTGTCTCGAGTAATCGTGTTGAGAACCATCACTTTGTAGACGCCAAATTCATATATTGCTTTGAAATCCGAGTCTGTGCCATAATGTGCATACATACTTCACTTCCCTTGTGTCATGACAACCAAGAAAATCATAAGAAAAAAATGTATATTATGTGATGCAGTAGTAGATACACAATCTTTGAAATGCTATAACCAATGCTGTTTGGCACAGGCAGGCAGAATTTTGGTAAAAACCAGATCTTTATTATGCAATTCCTTTATTCAAAAAACTCCAAAACTGCAGATAATCCACTAATTGTATCGGTTGAGATTTTGGATCTCCTTGTTCTTGCTCCCTTGGAATAAATGTTATCTAGGCCTTTAGCAGAAACTGCTCAAAGATAGTTTGGTCCCTGACATGATGTATTCATTTATACAAGTTCTCACAAAGTTAATAACTCAAGCTAACTCATGTCTAAAGTGGAAAATTTGCATGTAACTGAGAAGTGAGAACAACCTTAAAATTCTAGCATAAATCAAAATTTAAAAAAAAAAATGGAACATTACATATATGGGTTAATGACATTCCACAAGAGAACAAACAAATTCAGATGGGCTCAAGCTCAACCTTTTAAAACCAAATCATGCTTCACTTTCCAATAGACCAGAAGCAACAACTGAAAATAAGAAGGCTCACCACAGCAGAGCATTGCAAGAAAAGCCAATCATGAGGGCAGTTATCCAGCAGATATACGAAGTCCTTTGGTTCTGCCACTGAGAAGAAGCTTTATCGTAATATATACAGTAACCTTTGATGGGCTTACAAAAAAATAAGTATATATAACAAGAAAGCATATAAAAAAGTGGAACAGATCAAAGAAGGAAAAAAGAAACTTACAGTTGCCAAGTCCACCCCAGCCTTTGTTGATGATCCCCCTCTGTTTAGTTTTTTCTAAAGCTTGAACAATTATTTGTGTCATTTTCTCTGGGTCTTGAACAGGCTAAGATATAGGAATTAAGTAAAAGTTAGGGGTGATTACTGTGTTCTTGGAAACAGAAGTCAAGTCAGGGAAGCTCGAGAGAACGGATGCCATTCTAACACTTAGTTAAAATAAATAACTTGAAATGATGAAATAAAGGGTGAAAACGCAAATTGTACACAAAATGACAAACTATAAGATAAACACGATTTTAAGTGAAGAGTGAAAACCAAAGAGAGTAGGAACACAAAGACAATGATAAAAAGTGATGCATCACATGCACATACAACATAATAATAAACATCATTTATTTTACTCAATTTTTTTTAAATTTCAAAACAAATGTAGTTCAATTTTTATTAATATATACTTCAACATAAATAGTCATACCGAAAAAAAAAATTAGAAGGAAACAGGAGAAAGCTACCGCAAAGGTTACTCTTTCTTTCTTTGGGGAAGACGGGATCAAATACATATAAGAGAGCCCGAGAAACTTACGAGACTGCCAAACCCAATATAGATAGGCTTTGGACCAGCATTAAGCCAGTTTTTAAGTGACTCGGGAGGTTCATAATTTGTTGCGAGATCAAGGAAGCAAAATCCAACCACATCAACCTTATTTCCCCAATCTGCCAAACAAGATATTGTTTAGTGTCACTGGTAACCATGTAATCTGATAATGCCTGTGGAAAATGAAACAGGACTCACAAGCTGTAACACTTACGAATAATTTACTTTATGGTTTAATAATAACATCCAGCTGTTTCAATGGAACAAGTGCTCAAATCTTATTAACAGATTATTCCGAGAAAGAGAACTATCATGTTAACAAACTACCTTTTGGTTTAGGGACAAGATGAGGACTCCAAATGTATCCATGTGGAATATCCGACTCTGAAACTTGCTGACCACTCAAATATGAAACTGGTCGTAGCTTCAGCTTCTTTTTCCTAACATCATTTATCATGTCCCGTATTCCTAGCCAAATCAGTGAGTCAACAATCTGATACGATAGCTGCATGATTGATGCAAGAAATATGTCATGTATGGTAAAATGCAATTAGTGAAACCCCAGTTTTATGGATGAGGAAAAAGGTACTATCTCTTTTTTTCCATTTCAAGTTGGGGTTTCTTTGAGGAGAGGGGGGAAGCAAGGATGATCAGATAATGCAAAATTTTAAATAACAGTATCATGAGGAAATGCAAAAAGAACCGCTTAGCAAACTCACTCTATATCCAGAAGATTGCTTTACACGGGACAACGGATGAGGAAATTCACTAGTTGGCCTGGCAGAAAAAGCTTTAACATGGAATCATTTGGTTTCACCATTTAACAAGATAATAAGTTGAGTGACATGAAGAAAAATTTTGCATATCTTTGCCAAACTAAAAAGAATAAAATACATCTTTCCAAGTCAAAAGATCCAGAGAAGACTTACGTCCATGGCATAGTGAAAAATATATGAATTGGCACTTTCAATGCCTCAGCAACATGTGTATGCCCTGCAAAGGTTCTACTCTAGGTTAGTACCAAGATCCATTCTTTTGTATTGCAATAGATACAATTAAGGAAAACGACTTTTGCATAACAAGACTTTTAAGATCACAGATTAGACAATCTACGAGCCATGATACACACAGAACAATCGTACTAGAACTGAAAAGATTAGTAAGGCATAAGGTGGAAGAGTTTATAGCTTGAAAATTGGGAAATGGCCATATATCATTCTGGGACGATCAACAGACTGGAAACTCTTCATTGGCTGTAGCACAAGCACATGCACATCTGCAAGGCTCAACTGCACAGGTTTCTGAATTTTGGGGACAAGGAGAATGGGGCATTGCCAAACTATTAATGGATAACAAAATAGGAGAGAAAGGATCAGATATACTGGATACAATCTATTAATGGCAAGTTTCCTGTAAAATCTTGCTGGGAGGAAATCAGAAATTGAAAAACCCATTCAACATCCTTTAAATTCCTGTATCACATAGCCAGTTTATGACATTGTGCAACAAAGATATCAAATTTCCTTGGCATCACGATACTGCTGCCACTATATATGCTATGGATCCTATGGACCACGAGAAATGACAGAAATGAGAAAATTTAGGTTCATACCAATGCTACCAACGAGGATAACTTGGAGAATAAAAGACTTAATTAAGCTGCTCGTAAAGGCTGGGTTGCAACCGAAAAGTAATTGGAAAGGGGATGAAAGCATTGCAAGTCAGTATGGCAAAGGATACCAATCCCTATTCCAAAGATAATCCGTTAGCACATACCACCTTAAGGAACATATAAGCTAAACATAGATGGTGACACTACAAGTCATCACTAGGCCAAGCAGCAGGAGGTAGGATAGTGAGAAGTCTTGATGGTCAGCAGATTTTTGCTTTCCATTATCCTACAGTAGCTGCAATAGCTTCAAGACTGAGGTAAAGGCTCTTCATGAAGGCCTTACTATAAGAAAGATAAAGCAACTAACATCATCAGAGGTGGAAGTGGACTCATTAAGCTTAGCTAAAATTATAAGGACTAAGCAGAAGGGCCATTAGGAAACAGTATATTTATGGACAGCATTAGAATAATGTTTCTGGAAATTAGGGGAAACAATGCGTCTCGAGAGAAGCCAAGCAAAGCAGCAAATATGTGCGCAAACAGGGGGTTCTAGATTAGAGAAAACACCGTGGTAGAAATCAACGAAATAGATGGTGGGTAGCGGCAAAGGTATCTGTAAACTGACAGACTTGGCATAACCTACTTATGTATATCAAAAGAGAAGGCACGAGTCAATGTATCACTAAGGTACCGGGAAAGAAATTGATATGGAGATCATTATGATATATATTCAGATCAACCACATGAATGTATATCGTGAATTTGTCTCAGTTTGATATAAGCATGCTTGAGGAAGTGAGAAGATTGTTGCTCAATTAGCAGAAAGGCATCAACTTACAGAATTGGATTCAACATATCCTCCACTTTGGCTGCAAATTCTTCCAGAGCTAGTGCAGAATCTTTTAAGTAAAAAGGAAAGCCACTCAAAGAATCAAGACGAGAGAGAGGGAGAGAGGGGGAGAAAGAGATTCTAACCATATGCTGGGGGATTTGCAATAATTGCATCAGATTTGAAAGGAATCCCAGAATCAATGTCCGGCTCTTTGCATGCTGGAAGTAGAGAATTTATTATTTCCTTCATTTGATTTCTCTGTATAGGTATTTCTGAAGGACCTGAAGGCAAAAACCCCTTGTTTTTAACCATGTCTGCAGAAAAGAGGATTAAAGTCGTTAGTCAATTGATTCATTCATTTGAGGGGGAAAATACATTAGTAAGTAGATAAAAAACCTAATTTGGCAACTATATCAAAATGTAACTTCACTACAAACAAATAGCTGGTGTCTTTGAGCACGAAATTGGAACATGATACACAAAATGCACACATCATGTACATTAGAAGGTTTGTCATAGAAATGTCAGGAATTGTAATGAGGCATTGACAGCATATTCTGAATCAAGTTACACCCAACAGATTATACAGCAAGTTTCATGCATCTAATCTATTCCTTACTTGTAGAGTACAAGCATCAAATTTCAAACAATAAAATCCAGCTGGAGTAACAAATTTTAATAATGAGAGACACTTGTAAAGATACAGTCAGTTGCAAGACAAATATAAACATCAAATGCATACATTCGGCAAGAACTTTTGGATCACCACCAAGAGGATAAAATTCCAACCCAGCAGTCAAGACAAACTCTTTGAAATTTGAATGAGTCGCCAGTCTAACACGATGCCCATAATCCTGCAGCCAACCATCCTCATCAACAACTTTATATAGAACCCCAAAGCAGAAGCTTAATCAAAAAATGAGTTAGATGTTACTGAATTTCTCAAGATTTATTTGGGATCTAACATTTCAAACCAAATCCCGTGGAACAAATAAGCTATTATAAGACAAGTTCCAGCTGAATACAACAAGAATTTGTTCTCAGATTTCAAAATCATCCAATAAAGAAAAACTATCTTGATAACTCCCATGCCAGAGGAACTTATACCAGTAAAGTCTATATAAACACTTCGACAAAAATCCATTCTTTGTCCACTAGAATCTGAATAAATTTATTCAGATCACCTTGGAAATTGTATGCTGACCAGACAAAGAAAATAAGAGATTTACAACATGTATGTTTGACCAGCAGACTTACTAAAGGTCATTAAAAAATACAGAGGAACAAAGTCCACTGGGGTCTCTTAAAACAAAAAATAAAAAAAATCCTAGCATTCGCTCTTTACTATGGTATCAACTGGAAGGGACTTTCATGGCAGGGAAAAAACAACAATCTAAAGTGGATATGGACTCAAAAACAACACAACAGTTGCAGTCAAGTCAACATTAGCTTTTCTGCATGGCAGAATAGCAAGGAAATTTTGAGAGAGAGGTGATAATTTGCATCCATCCTGAGCACTGGAACCAGCATAGTATGGTTACTAATGGAGATCTAGCACACATGTGAGACCCCTAATTCTAATCAAAATTTTTGTCGGGTTTATTAACTTTAAAATACAATTTTAGATTCAGGCGGTTAAAAGTGCCTCATTTGTCACAATTTTCGAAAGCAACTGGAAGAAAATGCTGGGCTAGAAATCTAAACAATAGCTTTTAATGTAAAAGTATTCTCTTCCTTTCTGTGCTTTATAGTTTCTTTCACCTTTCTAATTTAACAGGAAGGTGTTTTAAAAACTGAAGGTTTGTTCAAGGATTATTGCTAGTAAAATGAATCCAGGCTTGTCAATTGAAATAAAAGTACCTGTAGTCGTTTGCCAATAGCAACAAATGGTTGTACATCCCCACGAGTCCCAACAATGAGCATTACAATTTGCATTGGAGGAATATATTGAAGCTCTGTTGCATCAAGAGGTTCATCATCAAGTTCACTATATACATTATCTTGACCAATTCCAACCGTTTGAGGTCCAACATCTCCCGGAACTTCAAATTCTACAGTACCATCATGCTTGACAGTAGCAATTCTCTTCAACAATTTGAGCTGCAGTGTTTTAAATATTTAACAACATCCCAGGCATGTAAGTACAATGAAAGATTAGCCGTCTAAAAGTGCTCTGTAATGATGAAATTATATTAGATAGTATATCCAGAATCAATACAAGATTAGATTACAAATTTTTAAAAGGTGATTTGACACTAAAGTATGAATTGTGTAACATGAAAAAAGGAAGCTGATTCTTTGTTGTTTTTGTAAGCATTGGCCATATTAATGTTCAGATGAAAAGAAAGCATAAAAAACAAAAACAAAAGCACCTGCTTCCATCTTGCCTAGTACATGCATATCTGAAGTTTTGCCTACAAATACAGAAACTGGAATGCAATACATCTAGTGTAACCAAATGTCATGCCAGTAAAAGGTTTCCATAGATAATGCCATGCTCCATGAGAAAAGCATTTAAACTGCAGAATTATTTTTTCAGAAACTAGAGGTAACAGGTGCAACTTGATTAACAATGGGACTACATCCTTATCTTTTTACTTTTGTATGAATTAATCTTACTAACTTATCCTAAATTAGGGAACTTCTTAAATATTTTTTGGTAATGATATGACTTCAATAAATGAGATAAATGGGGGAATAAACTGAAGTTACAAGAAACACTTCAAGACTCAAGGCTTTAGATTAAGTAGAATTAAGACCGAATAGATGGCATGTTCTTTCATTATAGTGGGGAATCAGGAGACAACAGAGTCAAGATGCAGGACTGTGTTCCCCAAAAAATGAAATTTCTTTACCTGTTAGGTTCAACTATTAATAAGGAAAGAAAAATCAAAGCGGGTGAATGCATATAATTAAAGTGGGTAGCTGGGAATAGCAAACTGATATGGTAATCTATGATGTACCGACACGGACATGTGTGTTCAACAAACAACATGCCAACTCGTGATTTCTCAAAAAAGTAAAAACTCACATCGCAGATGCGTTGATTAAATTTTTTAAAATTATTTATTTATATAGCCCTTGTTTGCTAGGGATTAAAATCTAGATTTTAATCTAAATCAAAGTCAACAATTAATTTTAGCTATATATTTTATAAGATCCACAACTTTCAGACACACATTTCATTAACTTTTATCAAAATTTACTAAATCTAATTTTAATCCCTACCAAACAGGGACATAGTATGAATTTAGTTTTATACTTACCCTAATTGAAGTATCCATGCAACACAAATGGTGATTAATGGAATTTGAAGATAAAGATATATTGGATATTTACATGAGTGGTCATATTACAGAATAGATGGGCTGTTATTTTGTAATAGTGGGGAACGAGGAGATAACAGAGTTAAGACACCCCTGTTTTCTAGGTTCAACTACTAATAAGGATTGAAAAGTCGAAGAGGGTCAAATGCATGCCCTTAAAGTGGGTGATGGAAATGGTTACCTGATATTGTGATCAGATACTTTATGAGTGGTCATACTACAAATGGGTGAAATATGCTATACAAAAATTAATTTGGTGGTGGGAGAAATGAGACTAAAATTAGGGGAAGGTCCAAGTGGATGGTTAAGGAATGTCTCTGATAGACCCAGTTAAGCTATTCATAAAAGCTCCTACTGAAAAAAAGTTAGTCAAGGTAGAGACATATCAAAATCAATAAGGTATTTTATTTCATTCTTCCATAACAGAAGACTCCAGATCAAACATTACAGGGAAAATGATTCTCACAGATAATTTCATGGAGAATAATCTTAACGTGTTGTTGTTTTCAGGATACACTAAGCTATCACAAAGAGATTATCAAAGAGAATTGCAGCAACCACTACCAAAAGCAATGACTGCACCGTGTTGAAAATGAAAAGACTAAGACCCCGTTTGGAATTGTTCTGATTGTCAAATAATTACAGCTATTTTAGACATTTACTTCAGAAAAATGATTATAAAAGAATCTGTACCATCTCTACTAGCAGATTTTGAGAAATGGCAAAAGGGTAGCTTTTTTCAGCTTTTAGCTTATCAAATTATCCATCATTAAGAAGATCAATATTAACCCTCATGAATAGAATCAATACCTTTCTTGTTCCAAGTTTGTCAATATTCTACATGTATTAGTATTCCACAATAATAAAGCTTCCTCCTCCATTCATGCTAAAAACTTTCTTCTATTTTCCTTTTCTTAACCGTTGATGGATTAAAATTCAGGGTAGAATTTAATAGATGTCATTGTTTGAATTTTATTAATTTTGATATTTAATAGATATTATTTTCTCCTTTATAAATAACTATGTTGATATTATCATAGATAAATGTCTAATAATATTACATGTTATAATTATCAATGATAATAATACATAAACACATAATTATAAACAACTCTGAAACAAAAGTTCATTAGATACTTAAATGATTCTTCCTGTAATTGCTTCTTTCTTCATCATAGCTAAACTTATTTTCTTAAATTCTACAATAATACTAAATCAAGCCTAAAGAGAACATATGTGAGAATCTTTTACCTTCTGCTGGACAGTGATTTTTTCATCATAAATTTGTGCAGCGTCTTCGGCCAATACAACATTATGTCTCTGCTTATCAGTTCTTGATCGTTCCAACTTCACTTCACTTGGAACTGGTTCTAATATATCAAAACGCATGATTGCGGGAGGCGTTGTATTCACTCTGGAAAAACTCCCTCCTCCACTCCCTAACATGCGAAATAACCAAATTATAAACTACAACCATTTCAAATCAAGAAAATCAATTTAAATTAACTAAAAACACTTCCAAGAACTTCACATAATTACTCCACCAGTAAACCATAACAAATTCTCAAACATAAAAACCATCAATACTCAATATCTTTTTCTCTTCCAAACTCCATTTACTAACGCTAATTATAAATTTCACAATTTCAAATTTTCCAAGAAATTTAAACTGTGAAATCATGAGAAGCAAATCATCCAACTACAGCCACCCAAATCAATAAATTCCATTTAAATTAACTGAAAACACTTCCTATAATTTCACAATCATCAGACAGTGTTACTCCATCCTAAACAAATACATTATCATACATAAACTTTTCAAAATTCAAAATTGCCTTCTCTTATAGCCCCAATTACTAACACTACCAATCATAAATTTCAATATTTCAAATTTCCCAAGAAACTGACGGTAATCATCCGCACCTGAAAGCTTACTGCCTAAATTAGAAATTGGAGCAGGATCACCACCACCACCATCATCAACGTTACTAGACTTCAACTCCTGACTATCCGAAGACGAGCTAGCTTCATTAGCCTTCATCGGCGGCTCCACCGTCGCCGTAGAACTCTTTCGTCTATCCATCAAGATCTACAGAAACTTCCAGAACTCAATTCTTTTTTGCATATACATACAGTATTGAATATATACAGTTAGAGAGAGAGGAAGTAAACGAGTACCACGTTCTAGAGAGAGGTTGAAGGAGATGCTAGAAAAGTAATGGGATTTTGAGCAGAAGATCGTAGTCGTCGCTGAAAGGCCCGGCCCGTTTAATATTCGTTAGGGGTACTTCGGTAATTCACTCGAGCAAGATACTGTGCAGGATTTTCTTGTGGCGACAGTGTGTAGGGGTGAAGACTTTCACGGAAAAACATTTTAACGAGTTTTATGCAAAGACTTTCTGATATTAATTTGTCTAATTTTTTACAGCCGCGAAATAGTAAAATCAATAAGAATTAGGAAATTTAATTAATAACAATTTGCAGTATGTTTAACCAAAGTTTTTTCTCGTTTAATACGAAGAGTTTCAAGATAATTGTGTGCATATTTCGCATATTTTATTTTATGATATTGCAAATATTTTAATTTCATGTCAAATTTCATAAAAATATTTATCGCAGGAATATTGACTTGTAATAAATTTGTATAATTACACACGATGCAAGAGAAAAAATTAACACCCCCTTCGCCACGCGAGTAAATTATTCAAATGGTCATTAAACTTTGCAAAAGGTTTACACGGGATCACTGGACTTTAAAAATTATCCAATTTATCACTGAACTTTGCAAAAGGTTTTCACGGGGTCGTTGAACTTTAAAAATCATTCCATTCATCACGAAACTTTGTAAAAAGTTTTTACGAGATCATTGAATTTTGCAAAAGATTTCTCTTCAGTGACCTCTGGGAAATCTTTTACAAAGTTCAGTGATAAATTAGATAATTTTTAAAGTTTAATGATCTCGTGAAAACATTTTGCAAAGTTCAGTGACGAATTAGATGATTTCTAAAGTTCAATGACCTCGTAAAAACCTTTTACAAATTTCATTGACCATTTGGGTAATTCACTTCCCCCACCCTCTTGGTATTTCTTTAGTCCCTGCTTGACAACCATTGAACTCATTTTTAAATATTTTGTACGTAAACTCAAAGTTTTTGCCTATTTTTTAATCATATATTTTTCAAAAAATCATTATTTCAAAACTCATTTTACCCAAAGAGCTGTGTTACCTGCAAAGGCCCTTTTCCACATGGTCTGTACAGATGCACACACATAGGGTCCACATGTGGGGTCCACCCCCCATGTGATAGCCCCTGTATAAAATGACATGTGCGGGGAGCTTTTTTCTTACCCAAAAGTCAAAACCTCATTTTAATGGTTTCTCAAACTTAATTGGATTCTGTTTAACCCAATAATGAAAGTTCTAAGGAAATTGAATAACAAAACTTTGCAAGAAAATATTTAGAAAAATCTATGAAAATAGAATCAGGTCTAAACAAGCGAATCGGTATTTTATAAACAATCACAAGTTTCATGTTATACGCAGCATCTACTAAAAAAATATACTCGATTACTGTGGAGTTGATGAAAATTGATTAGCTCACTAAAGGGTTGCATGACAAAACTTTGGACGTATTTTGATAAATATGCCTGTGATCAATAGGCTGCATAACATTTAGAACTGAAATGAAGTTGCCCTGCAATGAAAATTCTAGACTTTAAAAAATGTTTGTTGAGATGAAATGAGCAAAGTATCCCATCGTGCACAATACTTCGTATCAAGCATGTCCTTGAAGTCTTTCACTATGGCATGCATCTTTATCGAGTCATTCACCAAGTATCTGACTATTGGATCAAAATGAAAGACGCTTAGTATTGAATACTGAAAATATCATGTGAACGGAATACAAAGTATTTAACAAGGTTCAACAATGATCGGACATTATATCCAACAGAAGATAAAACATTTACATATTTCTGGGGTTAAGCCACAGAAACTAAACAAACCAGCAGCAATTATTTTCACCCTATTCCTATTGAAGGAACAACCTGCAAACAAATTCTAGAATGTCATTCCATTCTCCCCAATCCATCATATTATGTCCCTGAGTTGATTGAGTTTCTGAAACTTCATTCCTTGCTCGTCTAGAATCCTCCTTGTCAAGAGGGAACCTGTGCATTATCAAAAAAATGGTGGAAAACATCAAACAGTGTCTTTTTTTTCTTTGGTCCAAGAAAGTATTTATTCTTGTCTAGAAACAATGAGAAACAATGAGGGGGTCTACCAAATCCTTCTGCCAGTAAACTATGGTTGATCTTCATCTGATCGAGCACGTGTCAGCCGTCGACGTCTTCTGGGGTTTGGAGGAACATCTTCATCAATATTGCTTAATATGTTCTGGTCCAGCTCATCATCACCATCCTCGTCTTCATCATCTTCATCGTCATCTTGAAGGCCCAATAAATTCTCACCCCACAAATAACGGCGCCTAGAAAAGGTTCCGGTTGGGCGCCTATGCCTTGCCAAAGCTCTTGACCTGCCACCCCTTAGCTCCCCTCCTGATTCCATTGAGCTAATCATCTGAAACAAAAAGAAGGTGCTTAACCACCGGCCACCTTCACCTCCACCTCTTTCCCTTTCACCCAATGACCTATCTCCATTCTCAATTACATAGTCGCCGAATACTACTGCACCTGGCATGGCTGAGTGAATGGCACTAACAATATCACTGTATTCTCTTTGGTCTTCAAGGTGTCGCCAGGCTTGTTGTCTTGATGGGTCAACATCTGCAGGACGAACGGTTGGATGAATTCTTCTAGCATGCCGACGTAGCTCCCTATAGTTACCAAGAAACGAGCAAGATTCATGAGAGCAACTTCGAGACTTCAGGTTGAGGTACTTTCTGGCCTCTTCAACAACTTTCCAGTCCAAAACACTCCCACGACACAAAGGGCAACTCAAATTTGATATAGGTTCTGATTTCTCCATATTAGTTTCCCCACGTTCAAGCTCAAGCATTCCCCATAATGTTCCTTCTTGTTCTTCAAAGTTAGAATTTTCATCTTGGGTGCTTCCAGATCCACCAGGCAGACCCATGGTTGCTGCAGTGTTACTTATGGTCTGAATGTGATTTGTATCCTCCCCAGTCAAGTCACCTGCAGTTCTTGAGTCCAAGCTTTCCTTGTTTTCTTCTCCAAGCTTTCTGAATCGGTCCAAGCAATTTGAATGCCTATAACTAGTGTCACATATGTATGATCGACATCCCTTATCATGGGAACTGCAAATGAGAAGAACAGCATTGTGTGGGTGGTCCATGCATATGGGGCATGAAGCTTCATCCCATTCCTTGTACAAAGCAGACAAATCTGCATCATCTTTTGACAAGCTTCGTTTTCTACTCGCCATCTATGTGCAATGTGATATGTTACTATAATTGAAATCATTAGAATACTAGTCATTCCACTAAGTTGCAAAGAAAATAAATCAAAGGGACTTTAATTTATAAAATGACAGCAAAAAATTATATCTGCATTCACGTTCAACCAGACAAATCTAACACAAGAAAACCATCCTGGAAGAAAAAAACTGTTAAAGTATCCCAAAAAGCATGCCACCCAACACCTACAAAAAGAGAAAAATGAAATGCTCCACAAGACCATTTGCTGATTGTTTGTGTGTGCTCTCGCATGCAGGGAGAGATTAATTCATTCAAGTTAAATATAAGCTAAGAGTGTCAAGTTATCTGCGTCAAGGGTACGAATTAACAAGCAAGGGAAGGAAGAAACACGCTATCAATCACTACAATTCGGCAATTACCAGCAGAAAAAACTTCTTAAAAAAATCATCAAACCATTCATAACTACTTCCAAATAGCTACAACATGTGACTAGCCCCATTTACATGTCCCATCCCCACCCTAAAAATTCACCTTTCCCCTCTTTTGCAGATCAAAGACTCTTATATTTGCGAATCTATTGACCAGGAAAGTCCTGGAAATTCTTAATGCCCTATATACCTCTGGCTAATCACCTTTTGACCATAAAGAAAGAAAGGCTGTCTATGTTTAATTGAGAAGATGTCTGAAAAAGGCCAAGGCCAAAACCATAAAATGTTTTTAAAAATCCAATGTCGAAAAAGAGGATTACACAGTTCCAAGACCTATTGGAAAGGCAGGAACGAAGTTGAAAGTAACTCCAAACACCTTGTCGCTCCATCACACTAATCAAGCACCATGTTGTGTTCAAGCTACCTTTTTTACCAGGCTTTACAATTCGGAAACAGAACCATGACTGCAATTTGAATTACAAGTTCCTATTTACTGCTAAACGTCATTTCATGTTCTACAAATTATATCTCTGATGATATCCTCTAAGATCATATGAAGCTTTTCAAACAAAAATGATCAAATGTTTTAAAAGACTTCAGCAAATATTTTGTTACCTGGTCACTCACATCTACCATATTTCTTCATCACACTCCACGCACTGTAAAAAATGGCCATGCATTTACTTTTAGACAGACTTACCTTGATCTTAAAGGAGAAGTCATGCAGTAACTCCCAGATATATAGGTGCACCATGGAACAGTTAAAATTCCCCAAAACAATCTGCTATAAATGGACACGATAATGCAAAACTGGTTCTCACTCCCCCTTTCCAACCTGACGTGCAATTTAAAAGTGACTAGGAAGAACCACAAAGTACCCACCGACAGAGTCACATAAGTTATGATGTCATTCACACAAAAAGAAAGGCAATTCAACATGACATAACATAGACAAATAAAAATCCATGTTCAGGTAACAAGCAATCGTAATGTATCAAGCAAAAAACCACACGATTTTATCACTCATTGTATTTTACTCACCACGAAAGGGTTGTGAGATTTTCTCCCTTACGTCAAATTCTGAATCTTATAAACACTGGCTCGGACTTAGCAAATGAAAAAATTACAGTATCTTTACTCAACTTTATAGCATATTGGCTGGCAACTCGTCAGCAGCATGTAATAAGTAAATTTCAGTAATGCCTATAATCTTGAAGTAATAAGGCCTCAAATAAAGAAGTATTGATTAATTCTTCAGCCACAGTCATCAATGAGTCCCACAACCTGCAGTTGTATTGTGGAACAGAAAATGGTCATTAACATAAAATCAAACAAAATAAGGAGCGTTGTACAGAATTTGATAGACAACCGAAGCAACAAAAATGACCGAAAATCCAAAACACGGCAACATTAAATCTCACATTGAAGCATTAAAAAGCTTTATTCTAACACTGAATAACAACATAAACATGATTGCCACAAAACCCTCTTATCAACAGAAGGATGTGCATCTGACATTCAAAAATGCAGAATCCATAGGATTCAAAATCATCAGAAAAATGATGAGCCCAAGAAGCCTTTCCTAGTAAAAGTCCAGCACCCGATTAAAAAGTATCTTAACTATATTGCATAGAATCATAAAGCACACACCAAAGCCTCACATGCTCACCAATTTTCAAAAATAAAATCTTCAGCCAGAACACCGTATAAATCACAAAGAAAATATCTTAATCCCAATTAAATGGAAAAAATAAAAATAAATAAAATCAAACGCTTCAAGAGAAAAGATCCCTTTAAAATCTAAGAACCCCCAACGCCCCTTTCAAATGATATTCGCCTCCCTGATCCTCGTCCTAATAGATCAAAAAGATCCCTCCTCCATCTATACATCAACGAACACATACATGCCCGGGTACACACGTACGAGAATCCGCAGTAACTCGAACCAATATACGATCAAATTAGGGTATAATTAATTAAAATTTCCACAGAAAAAAATAAATCGAAGGCTCGGAATTACAATTAGGAGAAATTAGAGATGGTTCTGGCGTTTGTCATTTGACTGATTGATTGAATTTGCTATAAACCTTTGGAGGAATTTACAAGATACCGACGGTAACAGTAGATTGAAAAATGGACAAAAGTTAATGTGGGGTTTCAACTAGCAAAGATTATATATACAGAAGTGAAAAATTGCTCTTTAATTTATTTAATGCAAATTCGAAAATGGTGGAATTCTTTTACCTTTTAGTGTTCCATTTTCATTTCATTTTGGCGAAGTTCAAAATTTGTAATTTACAGTGGAAAGAAAGTGAAATTTAAAGGCAGCAATTAGGGTAAAAATCATCAAAGAACTCACAACCATTCAAA